ATAAAATAATGCAAGAAAATGCTTAAAACAATTCCTAATTGGCAATTGCCTTTATTAATTGCAAATAGTTTCATAGCTCTCTAACAAATTTGTCTTCATCTAATATTCGGAATCATAAGAAAGGAAATCTGTTATGCAAACTCTGTTAGCTTGAACTTCTTTATCTGTAGCTTTCTTCGATGTCCATAATTTCGTTCAATATGTGTGTCTAATATTTAACATGTATATACAGCCTTTAGAACTTTCCTCCACAATTTGCCAAGAACAAATGCACTGAAAATGTTAATCCTATTTTAGTGTTGCTGCAATTGTACTTTTAGTTTGTGCGCTAACTTCACTGCTCAGATCTCTAAGATTTTTTTTATACTTGCATTGCATATCAATATGACTAGCCCTCAATAAGAAATTTCTGACTGTGTTTTATTTGAAGAGAGTTACAATAGTGATCTCTTCATCTTTCATTATACTAGAAACTACTTCCCAATTTGAATGGGTAGTGTTTCTTCTCTTTTTTCGTTTTTTTATACGTAAATTTATTTTTTGATTTTCATTTTAAAATAATTTAAAAACTAAAACTTGAAACCCAATTTGAATGGGTAGTTATTTTTTATATATTTATTTTTTGTTGTTTTTTTATTATATTTAATTATAAGATATCTATATTTATTAAATCCAAATAAAGTAACCAATTAATATATATATATATGTTTGTTTTTTATTTTATTATTTTCGTTTTTTATATGTATTTTATATATAAATATATTTTTCATTTTTTTATTTTAAAATAATTTTAAAACTCCAATTGGAAACTACTCCCCAATTTGAATTGGTAATTCATTATTTTTTTTAATTTCATTTTTTATTTTAAAATAATTTAAAAACTCAAACTTGAAACTACTCCCACCCAATTTGGATGGGTAGTTATTTTTTATATATTTAATTTTCGTTTTTTATTATATTTAATTATAAGATATTTATTAATCAAAATAAAGTAACCAATTAATATATATGGTAGTTTTTTTATTGTATTTTATTATTTTCTTTTTTGATATATATTTAAATTCAAAAATAAGTAACCAATAACTAATTATAAACTAATAACTAATTAGTAACCAATTATGCCATGTGGCATTTTTTTACGCTGCCACTCGGCTTAAGGAGAGGGCTTTTTCCTCTCCTTTTAATAATATATAGATTCTTCATAAGTTTGGTAATATTTTTCGTTGCTAATTTATTTCTCCTAAAAATGGATTTACATAAATCAGTACTAATTAAATTAGTTTGGTGAAACATGATCTCTTAGTAAATTTGTCATCAAGTAGTTGCTGAAAATTTAAAACTAATAAAAATCTGCTATTGCAAAATCGAAACTTTTTTCATTCAATATGAATAATGAATTTAAAATGGTGGACTGAAGCTAATTAACGATTAACACGTCAAAGTATTAACAATTGATTAAACTTTAATTGTTTATCTCCGTAGATTCAAACGATATCCAATTACCCTCAACGAACAAGTCATCATACAACTCGCAAAAATTTATACTTTTTTCGTTCGTGTGTAATTATTTATTCAAAATTTCATTTTAATTATATTGATACTATTTTATGAAAATCATATACTAAATGACTCGATATACACGTGCAATGCACGTGCCGAGAAATATTATTTTATGTAATATATTTTGTAATAACGGATGCTTTGAGTTGGAAGTCCATGGGAAATATGGCTCTTCTTTCATTTGAGATATGTCCACTAGCCTTGGAGGTTCAGTCGTTGGCTAATCAGCATTTCATGTGGATGTTTCGGTATTGGATAGAGTGTTTGCTTGTGTTGGTTGCACAGTTGTTATTGCTTGAGCAGATCAACTCCTACCACCAATATGATAATCCACATTTACTTGCACTTATGGAGAAGGTTCAGAAGGAGAGGCTTCTACCATTGGTTATTGGTCAAGTAGATGCAGGTAGGGGTGTTCATGGTTCGGTTTGGATTGGTTTTCCCCTAAAAAGAAACCAAACCAAGTAAGTCGGTTTTTCAAATATTAGAACCAAACCAAACCAATTAAGTCAGTTTTTCTCGATTCGGTTTATGTCGGTTTTTCGGTTTTTTCGGTTATTTGTCGGTTTTTTTTTTAAATATAAGACATACACTACCAAAAACATATTCCGGTGGCCACATTTTCAATGTAACACTATCAAATCAATTGCCCTTTGAGAAATCTATTATTTACCAAGATATATTGATGATAATTGAATCAAATAGCGATGAATAATTTAAGGACTCAATTTAAAATATGTTATTTCTAACACGAAATGGATTCTTACACTAAACAAAAGAAAACCACCAATCAAACTAGAATGTAAAGGTAAAGAACCATATTAAAAGTTCAAACTATTAACATTTACCATAAATTTTTTGAAACTTTGTATAACAATATACATATATATAGTGTAATAATAAATTTGAAATAGCTACTCCTATAGTCGGTTTGGTTCGATTTTTTTCTGATTAAAACCAAAACCAAACTAAATTTGATCGGTTTTTAAAATTCAAAACCAAAACCAAACCAAACCAAAAAGTATCGATTTTTTTGGTCGGTTTGGTTCGGTCTTTCGGATTTTTATGAACACCCCTAGATGCAGGTTATATGTTCATTACAGAAGTCGTGGTCATGACTGAGCTAGCGAAATGGATGAAAGGGATATACACTATAATCATCGTCTATAAGGGAATAGTAGGTGAGATACGCTTCATTACGTTTATGTATCTCATACAAGCAAAATAAGTAAAAAAAATCACATGCATATATCTAATTAAACTTTGATTGTTCATCTTTATAGGTTCGAACAATATATTCAATCATCTTGACCTCGACAAACAAGCCACCAATACTCTCATCCATATTGATCATTTAGAGAAGCTTACATCTTATTCTTTTATGTATAATTATTTACTCAAAGTTTTATTTAAGAATATTAATATTATTTTATAAATGTACTACATGATTCAGCTTTCACGTGCAACGCACGTGCAGAAAAACTAGTATAAAAAAAGAGCGAATCTAACTTCAATTTTTTCCACAAATTTGGATAAAGCTTAATTGGACGTAACAAAGACTTCCCTGTCCATATCATTGGTTTTTAAGGCATATAACCCCGCCATGTGGCTTGCTACTAATTAAAGAACATCAAGGTAGGGAGGGATTCAAGTTCAACAACCCATGTGAGAGGACAGTAGCTCGTCCTTTCTTTGATTTTCTGTACCCGCTCTCTTTCGCTAATAATTAATGTCACCATTGTAAATAATGAAAGATGATCTTAATAACACCACTTTGTACATATATAATACTAATAATTTTAATTATTCAAAAATAAGACATTGACATTCAAAATTCACATAGAAATTGGATAGATTGACTCTCGCAATCCAGACTCTACCGTGTATGCAAGTATTGTACGAATGAATGAGTATAAATTCTTCCATTGGGTGTAGTTCCTTTATAATTTCCTTTTTAATGTGCCTTACACAACTTCAATACTACTAATTAATCTGGGTCCAATGCAAGTATCAAATATTTAGAGGACATCACCGAGGTGGTCAAGAAGTTTTATTGTGTGTCTCACACAACTTATATTAGTTGTGTGAGGTTCCTTTTTGTCTCACAAATTTTTTGGACCCCAATCTTACACTCCTGGGTCCACAAAAATCTGGGTCCACAAAACTGTGAGACAAAAAAGATAGCCTCATACAACTAACATCAGTTATATGAGACACAAAATAAAATTTTCCGAGGTGGTCAGAGGTCTGTGGCAGTGAATGCAAATGAGTCTAGTATGTCCTACTACTTGATATGTTTAAAGACATTTGGCGGTGAATGAGTGAACGCATTTAGAGGCGACATCTGCGGCGAGATTTACCTGCCTTTGGTAAAAGACGTGGTGGAGTGGTGTGTATCACAAATTCACAAAGGTATCGAGCCATCCAACTTTTGAATGGCCCCTCAATTGGCCCTACACTCACCACTAGGTGATCAGCTGTTGAAAAGTTACTGTAAATGATAAAGTGATACCAAACTTGTATCACACTCGTCAATGAAACCGCAGACAGAATCTGGTACCTTCTTAACCCTCTTGGATTCAGTTGGTCATTGTGTACCTCCTAGGCCTACAGTATGAGGCTCAAATCTTCTTGCTTCGTTTCAGGTGGTCTCCTAAAGGACATACAGTAATCAAATTCATATCCCAAAGACTTGGATCAAGGTCAAACAATATCGCATATCATCTTGAAAATTTTATTATTAGAATGATAATTAGATTAAAAAGTATTGATTTGAGTTTTTAACCAATATATCCATCGTGATCATACTTGGGACCAATATGGTCCTTTAAGCAAATAGGTTTTAGCCATCTTGGTCCAACCATTAACAGACATTAGAAACTAAGCGTTGGAAACTAAATGTCTATTATCTAATTGTTGGAGGTGATGAGTTGAGGAGGAGGATGAAGCAAGTATAATCCAATAAAAAATTTGGGGAAAAGATGAGCATCGCTCACTCTCGCTTCTGTCACTCTAAAGAAGCCAACTTCAAAGTAAATAATAAATTCCCCATCTGATCCGCATGTCTCCAACAGTTCGTTTACGGTTTTCAAGCTTAATATATTACGTTTAATCCAGTGTACACTATCAAGCTATAATTGTAGTCATTTTCTAATTCTTCAGCTTTCTAGCAACATCATGTTGCAAGACATGATAGTGTTTAGTTATTGGGGCCTCCATTTTAGGCAATTGGAAAGTTACGTGGTCACTTGATGATGATAACATGATTACCTTTTCGCTATAGATAAACTTCTGTTAGTTGAGGACCAAAACAGCCACCGACTCAAATACGAGAGGGATAATTTAGATTACAATCATAGAAGGACAACGGATAGTTCAGTAACTGTTTTGATTAAAAACTCTTGTTAGTTCTGCGAAAACCCATTAGTTTCTGACAAAAATTCAACCAAAACATTGCACATATCTTTCGCCCACTCATCAAACACCAGAAAAGTTGAGCCGTACCAAACGGAGCTCTAAGGATATTTTCTCCGTTATTTCTTGTTTTCTACTTCCACTCAATCCAACGTGCAGATCAGGTTCTTTTGGTAATTACTTCTTAACACGAAAGTATCTTCTATGGGACCTTTATTAGTTTTTCTCAAAGGGTTATTTTTTAGGATCACCATACAACATATGATCTCGAACTCCAAGGAAGTGTTCATTGTGGTCGACATACCTTCGCCTTTCCTTTAGCTGGTATCACCGCAGCAAGTCCAACTCTTAGCAAAACAAGAAAAGTGTACTCAATTGATTTATAATGAATGCAAACTGAAAAGCACTACTACTGTGCAGTTTTAGTGGACGAGATAAACTTTTCCGTCAGCTGAAGAAATCTAATCAATAGTCTGTAGGCAAGCCGCCTCTAAGGAGAAATTGCTCCTCCAAGCCTGCAAAATTCACAAAGAAAATGTTCCCTCCAACACCATGAACTGAAAGTTATATGAACCATTTCATAGGCCGTGCGAACAACCCCAGAGCAAATGCTTTATTTATTTTCAAGGAACTGTACATGTGCAATAGCAGAAATATGCTTTATGTATCAAAAAGGGAAAGAATATATGAGATATTCACAAGACAGTATGATTGATCTCCTGCTTCCTTATTTCCCTGTATAATAAGCACACCTTAACCTATACGTTGAGAACTCATAGTTCTGATGTGGAGTCACCCTCAAGACTATGAGACTGATTTGAAGAAGATGATGCTCTTTCAGCAGAAAAGTAAGACCAGGCTAAGACAGCAGAGCCTAGTGTAATTGTAGCAGCAATCGACCCCCATATCCATTTCTTCTGCCTTCTCTTCCTTATTTGCCTAAGACGCCGCGCTGTCTCTACACGGTCCAACAGAAACAGAGAAACTGTCATTCTCCCAAATCAAACAGAATCTGCTAGTTGATATCTTTCCAAGCAATTAAAAAGCACAAAAAAATAAAAAGGTCACTTGTACACAAAATTTACCCTGATGGAGCAGGTACCAAGACTACATAATCAGAGCAGCAGCCTGAGCAGTTGTCACTCGGGAAACATAACTAAATCTGTAAGGCATTGGATGGACGCACTCAGGACAGAGCTACAGTATTACCTACGGGTTCGGATAAACCCAGTAGCTTTTTCTTAGATCATGTATTTGTATTAGGAAATTTATTAAATATGTAAAACTATTTAATTGCGAACCCACTAAGTGTAACTAAAACGAGCTCTGGGTTCGGTAGCAAGTTCAGAACTTCAAATCCTGGCTCCGCCTCTAGACACATTACCTACAAAATTCCCTATGAACTAATCTACTCCTGATGTAAGACGAATGCTAGCAAGGAAGTCACTAACCTCAATATTGGTCTTTCATAAACTTCTGCAAATCGGATTACATACGTGCATACAATCTAATTTGACAGATAATAAGCAGTCAATAGGTCTTGCATCTTAGTATTTTTCTCTCTTGGTTCAGAAATAATTATCCTACTTTGACTATCACGATTATAGATATGAGAACTAAAATCAAGTCTATGTTTAATGTTTGCTGGAGGAATGTGTATCGGCCATATGCCATGTTATTCTTTTAAGAAAAGAACACAGAAAAAAAAAATGCATTTATTTGTGTAAAAGTGCACAATGAAGATTGGGTGTAAAATAACCGACAGCCCAAGACATTATTCTGGACGCACTAAAGACAAAACATAAACTTTTGGCATGGAACAGTGGGGAAGACATTTGCAATTCAGAGATAACCACTAAATGATGAATTTATGCGTCAGATCAGTTGGAGAGAAAAACACCATATCTGCATTATGCTTAACTTACATTTGTTGTAATGGAAACGAATTATTAGATTACTATGTTTATTTTGGGCCCTGTCTTGTTTCTCGGTTTCAATACTGACAGGAGAATTTGCAAATTGAACAGAGTATTTTATTCTATATAATAGCAGATGCCAACATAACTTCTAATTCTTTCACAAATCTCAAATAAGAGGAAATTGCCATTGGCTATGACAGTGACTAAGTAAGAAAGGTTAAGGACCTAGTTGTTACCGATCAGCATACCTATCTAGTGGAAGCAACAAGTCAAAGATGGATAGAAACAGAAGTATAAACAATAATGAAAGTTCTCATTAAGCATTTGTCAAAACAATGCCGAAAGAACATGCATACACCTATTTTGAATGTGCAACATAACATGGCCTCAAATTATAAGTAGTAACATGGAACATAAACTCACCTATAGCTTCCTGATTCCTCTGTGACATCTCTCGATTTACAGCTTCGTAATAATTCAACTTGTCCCATAGTCGAGCCATCTCAATGTTCTTCGACTCAATTTGGGCCTCCATTTCTGTCTCCACCTCAGCCTTTGCTATTCCCCTTCCAATGGAATCTGATACAAACCGAACGATGTGGACTTGTTGAAACAAATCTTCCACCTGATCATCTAGCTGTTCATTGTCCAATCCATCTCCAGCAACAAGACATGGAGGGAAGTTCAACCCCACAAGGGATAACCGTTCACGAATCCTTTGCCACTGGGTTTGCATATTGCTTAGAGCTTCTTCTACATGTTTTCGCTTTTCAATTTCCATTAATAAGCTCAATCTTATTTCTCGCAGCTCATTTTCAAAATCATGTGTAGGTATCTGTGGGCCATTCTCTGAAGATAGTTCTGAGGATGCGAATAAGGAAACCAAAAATTGTGTCATAATAGAATTACATTAAGTCGTGGTGATAACATATAATAGTCAATTACTTATTAAAAAGACTAGAAAAAGGCACTCAACCGTCAAGGTATTTACATAGAATACAAAAACTTGCATAGTTGACTGAAAAATGTAAATCCTACATCTATACATCAGGAAAAAGACATGAAAACCAAGTTGACAGCTAGGAAAAAGAAAAGGAAGAAAAAGCAGGTAGCATAGAAAACAGTCAAACCATTAGTGGAATAGGAACAAATAAACACATCAGTTCAATAGAAATATAAGTATAGAAAGACATAACCATGAAAATTATCAGAATATGAAAAGGTGACTACCTTCCCACGCATCATAAAATTCTCCCAACGGAGTCATGGCACTTACAGAGCGCTGCAATCCACCATTATTCTCACTCTCACCATTACTCTTGACACTCAGAGATTCCTGGGGGTCAAAGAAATCATCAGCTTCACCACCTCTCTGCAAATTGAATGCAACAAACTTCAACGTACCATTCTGCCCAGCTGAACCATTAGGCAAATCTTGGTGAAGAAGATCCCCATTAGAGAGGTCACTCACTTCACCACCATTAACCAGGTTATCATTAGTGATCAGTAAATTATCCTCTTTCGCACAATTAACTGTATCCCTAGAAATGGAAGAATCATCAATAGATGTACCGGGGAGCTCCTTCTCCGTGTACGTTACATTCTCATCTATCTTCTCTCCATCTAGAGCTTGTTGTTGAGTGCCGAAATCATCTTCGGCGAAACTCTTTGAAAGTCGTGGACCTCGACGCTTGTGATTGATTATGTAGGGCGATGGAGGAAATGACGAAGGAGAATCTGGAAGCGGCGTTGGCTTGGGAGTTGTGTATAGTGCAGGAGATATTTGAGTCCAATGGTCTTTCCTATCTACTATGACGGAGGACTTACAATTTGTACCATCCAACTTTACATTAGACTCAACAGTTTTTCTTTCTAGTTTTGAAGTAGAACCGTTCTTGCTCTTATCAATACTTGAATTAGGAGTGTTGTTCCTCCTCGCAAACTTCGAATCAGGAATGCTCTTGGAAGTTGCCATGGATTTTGAGCCCCCGGATTCTATCAATCTATCCATAGCTATTGCTGTATATGTCGGCATGGCTTACAATACCAGCAACACCTATACAAAATAAAAGAAAAAACATAACACAACAAGCAATTAAGAGTGTATAAAAGCATGTATTAGCAGATAATCAGAAGACGAAAGATAAGCAGCATAAAAGAAAGGAAATTGAATTTGTTCCAAACTCTGATATTCAAGGACTAGGCAGAAGAAACTTAAAAGGCAAGTCGACAAAATATAGAAATGCTGAATTTGTTAATTCAATCTTCGAATTCTTATGCCACAAATCACGACGACATCTCAATTCACCTCAATTTTACTTATCTGAATAAAATCAATATGGGTAGCTAAACTTTTAAATCTATTCATCCACACCTAGAAGAAAATCTATATAAAAAAAAAAAAAGTTGAGGTGGTAATTATAGGCCCAAATGATCAAATTAAACGTGTCAAAGCTTCAACAAAAACACATCAACATAAAATATGCACACAAAAAATGATCATTTCATACACCAATATATATATGTAGAGAGATGAGAAAGTAACCTGAAGATGGGAAAGAAGCAGAAGAAATGAAGAAACCCTAAGGGGAAGGAAGGGGACTCAGAAGACCATTAAGGTAAGGGGAGAGAACAGAGGCGAATTCAGATTTTGAGAATCGCGAATTCGGGAATGTGAAAGGTCATGAAAATGGTGATATTTTGATAGAAAGTGGAAGGTTCAGTGTGGAACACGTTTCCATAGATGCACGCGAATTCGTCTCCTCTGGCCTTGACCCTGACCTTTCGGACAAGGCAAAGATGCCTCCCCAACCTAGAGCCAAACTACACGGAATGCTTCTTTCCTCCTCCTTTCTCTGTGTGTTTGTTATACGGAGTAGTTTGTATATTTTGGTTTGTATGTTTATGTTCCTAATTTCTCTAACTTTCTGGTGCTTCTCCTTTCACCACCTCGCCCCGCATAATCAAAGGCCTAAATGCAAAGAGAACCTCCCCCACTTTATTCTAAACTAAGATTCTTTTATTTTGTCGTCGTACTCGTACCATCCAGACGCCCCACCTTTTTTTAATAACACGTGTATATACGAGAATTTGTATTGGTGATGCTACAATTAGATTTATGATCTCCCCTGCGAACACTTAGGCCTCATTTGTTTACACTTAATGGAAGTCCAAATTTTAATTATTCAGATCTCAGATATTAAGTGCGTTTATTTTTAAAGTCTGAATCTTAATTATTCAGATTTTAATCATTAAGTGCGTTTGTTTTTTTTACTTCACAACCACTTAATGGGTCTGAATAGGTCTGTATAATTAAGATCCATAACAGAGACTTAATTTCATTAAGATGCTATCACATATTCATTATTAACTGCCGCCACCGCCTACCATTATCAACTACCATCATGCCACCACCACCACCATACTCAACCACCACCATCACCACCACCACCCACGCCACCATCACCCTCAATCATAGCCGCCACCATTATCAACCATTACCACCCACTATGTCACGACTCCAACCCCGGTCGTAATGGCGCCCAACACATTGCTAGGCAAGCCCGACCAATTATCAATCACAACCCCTCTGCTGAAGAGTTCATTACTTATTTAACAGAATGTAAATACCAAATTAACATAATAGGAGTCTGAAACAGTAGATAAGATGTGCGGAAGTCATAATAACATCACTACATAGCCCACCGATCCGGTGTCACAAGTCAAGAGCCTCTATTACAAGTTTTTAAACAGCCTAACACAAAGATAGTCTAGAGTATGCTGAAAGATAAAAGATAGAAGGAGAAATCGGGTCTGCGAACGCCATGCAGCTACCTCGATAACTCCGGTGGATGATGATCAGCAAGAAGCTCTCGCTATGCCTCGGGAACACCTGGATCTGCACGCAAGGTGCAGGGAGTAATCTGAGTACTCCGACTCAGTGAGTTATAATCATAAATAATGGCTGACAGTAAGAAATCACGTAAAGGCACTAAGCAGTTCTATATCAAGGCAGTAAATCAACTTTAAGCAGCAAAATAGTGAAGAAGTCAAGTGAAATCTCTTTAGATCAGGTAAAACAGGTAGCTTATCAGGTATTTAACAAGTATAAATCCGTTCCTCGAACACCGTAACCATATATCTCTTACCATAACCGAAATCAAAATAACCGCTACGGCGTGCAGCTCGATCCGTACATCGCTGTGGCGCACAGCCCGATCCATATAAATAGTCGACTGCGCTCACTGGGGGTGTGCAGACTCCGGGAGGGGCTCCTACAGCCCAAGCGCTATATTGCTGCGGCGCGCAGCCCGATCCACATATATATCTACTGCGGCGTGCAGCCCGATCCATATAAGTATTTGTTGCGGCGTGCAGCCCGATCCAATATACATACATATATATATATATATCCTCACCATTTGGGTTCTAAACCCCTCTCAGTCATTTTAATCACAGCCTCTCGGGCACAATAATATAAGGTAGGGATCTCAGCCCACATATTTCTTTCATTTAGGATTAACATTTCAAAAACCGGTTCATATTGTTTTAAACAGTTAGAAACATGACTGAGGATATGGTTTTTAATAAGTAAAGTGAGGAAAATCAGTCATAATGCCCCTAAGGGTTCTACAAGTCGGCACAAGGCCCCAAACATGGCAATTAGCCCAAATCATAATGATAATTATTAAATCTCAGTCAAAAAATGCGGTGAAATCATCTATCGGGACGGACCAAGTCACAATCCCCAGTAGTAATGGACACCACGCTCATCATATAGCGTGTGTCTCACCTCAACATAGCACTACATTGTGTAAATCCGGGGTTTCAAACCCTCAGTACATCATTTACAATCATTACTCACCTCAAACCTGCCAAAACTCTAGCTCGCTATGCCCTTGCCTCTCAAATCGGCCTCCTCGCGCGTCGAATCTGACCAAAACCAGAGTGAATACGTCACAATATGCTAAGGGAACAAATCCCAAGCGAAAACAATCGAAAAATATCAAAATTCTCGAAATTAGCAAAACCCGAGCCCCGGGCCCACTTCTCGAAACTCAGAAATTTTTACATCATTAGATTCCTTATCTCCCCGCGAGTTCATTCATATCAAAAATACAAGAATCGGAGTTCAATTGACCCCTCAAATCCCCAATTTAGACTCTCTTAATCTCAAGTCCTAAACCTCCATTTTTAGCAAAATTTCTATGAATTTCTAGGTTAATTTCACAATATAATCATGTTTTTGGTTCATAAAACTTACCTCCAATCAATCCTCTTCAAATCCCTCTTCAATTTCTCCCAAAGAACTCTCAAAATGTTCAACAACGGTGGAAAAATGACTTAAGCTCGCGGAATAAAATGTTTAAAACCGTTCTGCCCAGGGGTTTTCGCATCTGCGACCCCTCCACCGCTTCTGCGGTACCGCATTTGCGGTCACAAGTCCGCTTCTGCGGAAATTCATTAAAGGCCCCAAATCCGCATCTACGGTCCACCAGCCGCATATGCGGCTCTGCAGGTGCGGGCATCCCACCGCATCTGCGGTCTCAGCCTTTCCTCCCAAAACCGCTTCTGCGGTAAATGGTCGCATATGCGACTCTGTAGGTGCGGTCCCCATACCACATCTGCGGTTCCGAACTCTCCTTGCTAAAACCGCATCTGCGCCTTTCCTTCCGCATCTGCGATACTGCACCTGTGGTTCCCAAGCCGCAGGTGCGAAAATACTAGAAACAGCAGAAATCTAAAATTGTACAAGTCCAAAATTCTTCCCGTTAGCCATCCGAAATCACCCCGAGGCCCCCGGGACCTCAACCAAAAGTGGCAACACATCCTAAAACCTCATTCAAACTTGTTCCAAACATCAAAACACCACAAACAACACCAAAACCTCCAATTTACATCGAATTCAAGCCTAGATTTTCTAAAAACTTCCGAAACAAGCTTTTGATCAAAAACTCAACCAAACGACGTCCGAATGACCTGAAATTTTGCACACACATCACAAATGACATAACGAAGCTACAATAACTCTCGGAATCCCATTCCGACCCTCGGATCTAAATCTCACCTATCAACCGAAAATCGCCAAAATTACTAACTTCGCCAATTCAAGCCTAATTCTACACCGGACCTCCAAAACCACTTCCGATCACCCTCCTAAGTCACAAATCATCCCCCGAAGCTAACCGAACCATCGAAATTCACATCCGAGCCCTCCAACTCATAAGTCAACATCCGGTTGACTTTTCCAACTTAACCCTTCTTAAAAGAGACTAAGTGTCTCATTTCTTACCAAATTCACTCCGAACTCAAATCAACCAACTTGACCACCTAAAAACACGGATAACGAAGCATAAAGAAGCAGAAATGGGGGAAACGGAGCGGTAACTCATGAGACGACTGGTCGGATCGTCACACACTATTCCCACCACTCCGACCACCATCATTCTCACCCACAATTAACACTCATTCACCTCAACTACCACAACTGACCACCCCATCACCATTAACAACCAAAGCCGGTACTGCCCATCTTATAACCTACCACCACCCACCCATCACCTTCCTCAGTCACAACTATTACCACAACCCGCCATTATTAACTATCACCACCCACCACCACCATCCTCAATCATAATAGCCACCACTACCAATCGCCACTAGCTACTAGCATGAACCACCATCATCAACCAAAACTACCACAAACCACCGGCTCTAGTCGACATTCACCCATTAGCTATCACCACCAACAACTATCATATTTTAAAAAACTATATATTTTATTGATAGAATATTATATTAGTTAGTATTTCATTTGAATTTTATGTTTATTAATTTTCAAATAAAGATAAATTTTATACATTTAGATGTTAAAAATCAAACAGTCTTAATTATTTTTATTCAGATCTTAATACACATCTTAATATATTCAGATATCTTAATCTTAATATACATCTTGATATTCAGATCTGTATTTAAATTCAGACGTCTTAATCTTTAAAAAAAAAACATTATCCTCTCTGAAGAGGAAAGGAAACCTCCTTTGATACACCTGTGAAGTGCTAGAAAAATTAAAAGGAGAAGAAATAATTCGCCTAAACTACTATGTTAGCTTGATTATTGAGCTTTATTTACTATGAATTCTTGTACATATATAATGGTTGATGATAAAAGGTCACAACGGAAATACATTATGCTATTATCGAGGCCTTTTCAGATTATGCCATTATTCATTAAACTATGGTGTTGCGGCGTTGGAGATGGTGGAAAATTATAAAATAATGATACCTTTTAGATGTATGTTGAGGAGCAGATGGAGTTAAAAATAAATTTTGGAGAAATATATAATTCAGTTTAAAAGTTTTCTATCCAAACAAGGGATCGGATAGTAATGTTTGTTGTAAATTCTGTTGATGATTTAATTGTTATTTTTTTGGTTGATATCTGGGTCAAAGGATTCTCTTTTCTATTAAAAAATTCTTACCCTAAAAAATTAAGGGTGTTATAAATATATATTATATTATGGATTTTCATTTAGTACTCCGTTGTAAATAAGCTTTCTGAAGAAGCTTATCCATATGAGACTCCGCCGTAAATATGTTTATCTATTTAGTACTCTATTGGAAATAAGCCTCCTGAAGAAGCTTATCATTTCGGTACGCCGTTATGGATAAATATTACCCCCGGTAGAAGATTATCTATATCTGGTACAGTAGCAGCTTACACAACAGCTTCCTTTCTTCTATAAATAGAGGAGATTTCAGTTCATTATGTACATGAGTTTTGAAAGTTGAATAACACATCAATCTCTCTCTCTATACTTGTCTTTGATTTATTTACTTTACATTTTTTATTTTATAACACGTTATCAGCACGAGACTCTGCCATTTTGAGCACTTACTTCGAATTTAATTTCTATATCATGTTCATCTCTGATGTAAGGCGACGCTCTTACGTCCGTGATTAGATCTTG